TTTTGAATAATAATTGATTATTTCCCAGAAGATCTAAAAACATCATATCACAGCGATATATGTGCACCTATGTTCATAGTAGCACAATTTGTAATTGTTAAATTGTGGAAGCAACCCAAATGTCCATCCACTGAGGATTGGATAAAACAACTGTGGTACTTTTATATAATGGAATATTACTCAGCTATAAAGAAAGATAAACTCGAGGCTTTTATAGGTAAATGCTCACAACTAGAGACCATACTCATAAGTGAAATAAATCAGACCTGCATGTGTAAGCACTGTATTGTCTCACTAGTGTAAGACCTGAAAGAGTGGATAAAAACTAGGAGATATGATAGACATTGTAAAGGGAAAGGAAAATGCTCAAAAGTAAAGGGCAACTGGGGTGTGGGAAAAGAGAAGGGAAAGGGGAAATTATGTATGTATGTATATACAGGATAGCTAACATAGTTGAACTACTGTCTTGTATTGCTTTACTGAAAGAAACAGTTAATGATTACTTGACTGATCAATATTGCATGTCTCTATTTGTTTTCCTGAGAAACCACTTTGAAGACATCAATAGGTAATACAACAAGCATTGTTAATTTTCTACCACTTTGTAATTCTGTATTGTTTGTATTGTTCTTTTGCTATTTTGCAAATGGTTGTCTGTTTGTTAATGTTTTCCTTCTTTTATTTTTAAAATAAATTTTAAAAAAGAAAAAAATGAATAATAATTGGCTAGCACAGTTGCATGAATATGAAAATAAATAATAATTGGTTAGCACAGTTGCATGAATATGAAAATAAGGTAATATGATTTTGTTCCACGCACAAGATTAAAATTTATGCATAGAGGACAGACTTTGATAAGTTTTTTAGAAAAATTTTCAACTTATTTATATCTATGAAGGAATGTCTGCTACTTATAATACAAAAGGATTTGCTTAGCCCAGTTTTGATAAGTTTTTCTTTTTTATTACTGGTATGTTTCCAGTATAGGAAGATTGCATTCGTTTTGGGAATTGCTATATATATATATATATATAACACATTTTAAGCACTTTTGATTCTCCCCCTCCCCCGCTCCCTCATCCCATATCCACTGATCCACTCTCCCTACTCCAAAAATTCTGCCTTTATTTTATTTTTTAATTCACTGGGTTCTTCCTATAAGAGAAACTATGCAATATTTAATTTTCTGTGTCTGACTTATTTCACTTAATATAATGTTCTTGAGATCCATGCATTTTCATACAAATGACTCAAATTCACTCTTCTCTCTTTCAAAGAAATATAGTGTATGTACACCACATTTTCTTCATTTTCCACTGATGGGCATCTAACCTGTTTCCACAGGTCAGTTACTGTGGCTGTGCTGCTTTAAACATAGTTTTGTGTATATCACTATAGTATGATGTCAGTAGCTCTTTCAGAAATATACCCAGAAGATGTCTAGCTGGGTCAGATGGAATTTCAACTTCTAGTTTTTTGAGAAATTTCCATACTAATGATAAAAATTCTTAATAATAATATAACTGTTTTTCAAGTGTAGCCCATAAACCTCTATCAGAAGCACTTGGGCCCATCACTAAACATGAATATTTGTGGGCTCCACTCACAAATCAATGTTTCTGAGGGTGGAGCTCAGGCATCTGTAGCTATATTAAGAAATTAATGATTCTTATGTGTATGACCTAACATTATATACAATTTCATATATCAAAGATATGTTATTTGCTTTTTACAGTGTTGTAGAGGAAGCATGTGAGCTTCACTTTCAGATCCCATTCACTGACACATATGAAGCTATGTGATATGCACAAGATCACACAGCACAGTACAGGTGTTCATTTATTCACTCAACATCCATTTACTGAGTGTGTACTAGGGCTCTGTTCTATGCATAGAGATAGAGCAGGATAGCCGAAGCAACCACCATGGTCTTTACTATGATGCACATATTCTATTGAGGCCCATTTTAGCCAGTCAGTAAATACTAAACAGGAATGAATTAGAACCAGGGACACAAACTCTTACTGCAGTGCTCTGCCACTTACCGAGTGGTCTAATCACTGTATTGTAACATAAATCAAGTAGCGTGCATAAGATGCAAATACAGTAAACATCAAGATTCATTGTACAAGCACCAAGGAGTGTGGCAAGAGTGCCAACTCCAGGAGTTTAACAAAATTGGCTTCAAAATCTGGCATTAGCACTTGCATACCTGGGCACTCTAAGCTTCAGTTAGAATTTGTTAACACCCACCTGACAGGAGAAGTGTGAGGATAAAAAGAGATCCTAATATAAGTAAAACACCTATCAAGGTTTAGGTGCTCAAAATCAGATTTTATGTCCATTAGCAAGTATGAATCTTATAAGATAACACCAAAACATAGATTAAGTGGAGTGGAGGTCAACCATCCCTAGTTTATCTTAAATCCCATCATAAAGACTACTCTTTCATAAATTTCATTCTGTATCATACACTTTTGTATGACCCCTCATGGACAAAAATACCATTATTACTCTATTATAGGAAAATATGCATTTTAAAATTTTTTATTTACAATGCTAACCTTTTCTCGTATCTTTGGAACATCATTCATTCCTAGGTAGAACTATATGATATCATCAGTAGGAAAAATTTACATATAATAATGTATCTTTTTCTCATGAAACTGCTAGCATAGTAAGTCTACAAAGAATAAATTCAGGGGGCTGGGGATTTAGCTCAGTGGCACAGCACCTGCCTGACAAGCGCAAGGTCATGAGTTCGATTCCTGGTACCAGAAAAAAAATAAATAAATAAATTCAACCAACACTCTCTCTGTTTTCAACCTCACTTTCCCCCTGCCTTGCTGTTTCACAATAATACACTGGACTTTTTTGACTGCTCAGTCTACCAGTCTCCAGCATGTAGGCATCACACATGGCATTGTTTTCCAGTGCCACCTGAAACATCTGGTCTTCAGAGCACCTTCCCTGACTGACAGCCAAGGCCAGGCTCCACTGTATACAGTGATGTAGTGAAGCCTCCTACCAAGAGAGAATCCTGGGTTCCAGAAAGTCATTTGACAGCATGGAGTTATGCTAGCAGCTCAGATGCATAGCTGTGCCATTGGATAAAATTTCATATGCCACAAGAAATAAGTTGTCATCATGTGTGTATACTGGCTAGCTAACGGTAACAGCCAGGACTTCACAAGTGATTCCTCCTGAGCAACAACTGCCTATTATGGCATACACTGATCAGATGAGGGAAAACAGCTTTCTTAAGGGGAATCCCAGCATTGCCTGATTCTTTTTCATCTGCTTTCTCTGTCAAACCAAGTTTTGTGCAGATTTTTAGAAATATAATAATGGTCTTAGGCACAATATTCCATAGTTAATAAAACCCTGTACTCTTATTCAGAGCAGCTTCTATTTGCATGCAATGAATATTTTCTGTTAATGTTTGTTTTTCTCATTTGGCACATTCAGGAGGGAAAGAGCGCACCTCTCCAATAGTCCGTGACTTCCTCACTTCCAAGAACATAGGAAGGAACATGCGCAATCACTATGCACTGGGCCAAGGAATGCCTTAATTCTAAAGGCAGAGTTGTGTCCAGATGAAAGACTCGGACTTTATTTAATATATGTAGTATGTAAAACAATGTTTGGCACCTACTGAGTGTTCAGAAAATATTATTATTTGCTTAAATAAAAATCATAAAAGTAAAGCAAGACAAGAGATAAAGGCTGCTGCTGACTGGTAAATTCTAAGGTTGAACACATGCTATATGGTTGTGCAGTCAGAACACAGTGCAATGTATCAACAAAACCACAGAAGTTCTTCATCTCAGTAGTTTTTCATTCATAACAAGTCTCAACAAATACAAGTCTCAGATGTTTTTACATATTCCAAATTGGCTCCAGTACCTTAAATGAAAGTACTCACGATAATGATATGAGAGCCTATTAGAGCAAAAAGAGATGTTCATGGTTCATGTTCCCTTTTCTCAATGGGTAGAAAGAGAACTGATACCCTGAATATTTTAAGAAAAGGCCACATACATTGTTTTTCTGTAACTTAAATAAAACAGAGGATGAAACTCAAAGACCTTGTATTTTAAGACATTAAAACCACACAACAAAGCAGAATTGTAAAAAAAAAAAAAAAAAAGAAAAAAACCTAAAAACTGGAAATAAAAAGAGTTGTGGTCTCTCTGCCTCAGTTTGCCCCAAAATCACAGCAATATATCTCGAGAATTAACCAAAGAAAGTGATTTGAGGAAGGGACATCTGTTGAAACAAGCTTTTAAGACTGCCAATCCAGTTGGTTTTGAAATATTTCAAAAGTAAATATTTTTATTTACTAGGATCTCATGTTCATTTTTTTTTTACCTTATTGTTTTCCTGATGAGTCTTCTTTTCAAGCTAACCACCCATATTTTGGCCTTCTACACACTTTTTAGGAATTTCCCAACCCTCCGGCAATGAGGAGGAATTGTTATAGAATCAACAATTCTTCTACTGTCACTCTAATATGTATGAAAAATTCAACACAACTATAATCTAAGGCTTTAAGTAACAAATTCCTAAATACACAACAATTTATAATATCTTCAGGAGAAAAAATCCCTCAGCTATGTTTATTTATCAAATGCAGGCACTCTAGCGAAAATGGACATCCATAGTCTAGTCTGGTCAGTCATTCTATTTCACAGGAAAAAAAATTCCCAAAATCACATGAAAGTGACTAAACTCAACCAATATAACCAATACAAAAATGTGTTCATGACTTCATCTACTGCTTATTGCTAAAAATTTTACTTTTCCATGGGGTTATTTTGAAGTTTAGAATTCAATACATTCATAATGAACTCACTTCTGTTTTACTTTAATAAGCCATTCTCTTTCCCTGGTTTCCTTCTAAGATTAATTCAAGTTTAAACCTATGGGTTAGTAAAGAGAAAATTTTCTCTGGAACATGTAAAGAGAAATACTATGATTATTCCTAGAAGGATACCTACCTCAGGCCCTGTGATGTTCATCAGACCAGAAATAGCAGCGGCAACAGAATCATAACCAGCTCGCTGTGACATGGGACCTGTGTGACCATAACCTAAAACAAGAAGAGACGCAGTCAGCACCACACACTAGCACCATGTGTAATAACATGTCAAAGCCATTTGTTTCCAGAAATCTTGCTGCACTGTGTAGCTGTTAGACCTGTATGATCTCCTGAAGGAGACAGTAACAATGAATTACTATGTTCTACTCCCAAAAAGTCAACTGCTGGCCAGATCACACCAGCATAAGTGCTTCGTTTGACCTACAGAGTGTTTTGAAATGATTTTATTTACTGCCAACAATTAAAAATCAAGAGGTAACACATAAGATGGAAATGCATGGCTTTTGTTGAAAAAATCAGAAAATACATTCAAAGCTAGGCCCATCTTCTTACATGCAAAAATCCGAGTTGAATACAGCTCTCCCCCGACACAGGGCATGAACTCTCCAATTTGCTGTGCTCCCCACTACTCCTTAGCCCTCTCTGGCTCAGCATGATTCACTCTGTCACTTACCTCCCAGGCACCAAGAGGCATCCGCTACTGTCAATCTGTACATGATAATGTACAAAGTGAGGGAAACATGGCTCCGCAGGTTCTACTTACATATTTTCTCAAGCATCAAAAAAATATATATAAATGACAAAGTTTGGACAAGAATAAAACAATTTTATCTTCTAACAATGCTTTTCAAAAGTGTTGTGTTTCTTTTTCTTTCTTTTTGAGATGAGAGGGTGAGGGGAACAGAGGCAAGAGTTAAAAGAACACGAAAGTCTTTTCTCTGGCTCTTCAGTCTTGGTACTAATAAGTAAAAAGGCTGTATCAAAAGCTACATGAAGCTATCTCCAAATCCAATTTATCAACCAAAGAGTGAATAAATGAAGTGTTGTCCATGCCCAGCCATCAGCTCATCCTGCCAGCCCCCACAGATGCCTGCTCCGCTCTACTCTCTGGCATCCTCCAAATCTCCACCAGATAGACTTTCCCTGATGACCCTGTATAACAAAGCACTGTCACTTCACACTTTTCATCCCTTTTACCCAATTATATTTGTCTTCATAGCCCTCATCATCAATACATGATGTTATTTATTTATTTTGTCTCCTTCCTACTAAAATGTACGCTCTAGGAATTTCTTCTATTAGACCCATTTCTGTACTTCCATCATCTAAAACAGTGTTTAAAAACCTTTCAGTGAAAGAGTAAACAAATATTGGGTGCTAAAAAAATTTTTCCAAAAGCAAATAATATATAAAATGTGACTGAATACAGAACTTAAAGTGAGTGATTAAATGATCTAATCACCCATTAACCTACCCAGATGCATTTAGTACCAGAACAATCTTTATCAGAGATATAAAAATGTAAAACAAAATCATTGGATAAAACCATCACTTATAGAAATAGTTTAGTCTACTGCCATACCACCCTGAATGTGCCCGATCTCATCTGATCTCAGAAGCTAAGCAGGGTCAGGGCTGGTTAGTACTTGGAAGCGAGAAATAGCTTAAAGGATATGTATTATTATTAATGCCAGAAAATGTTATAACATGTTTCTCCTTATGTTTCAGCATGGACAATGTCAAACAAAAATGGGAAGAATTTATAATATGCCCATCAGCCAACTTCAATAATTATTTATTCAGTCAGTTTTCTTTCACTATATTTATTTTTCAATTAAAACTATTATATGGTGCTGAATTGATAAAATCTTTTTTAAAAACTCATATGTCTGGCTTCAGATAAGACAGTTTTGACTTTTAATTCAAAAAATAAAACTTGTAAAGTTTGAACTATCTCTTTTTAAATATTAGAAAAGCAAAAATGTGATATGAAGAGAAACATAAAGAAAAATACAGTAAAAGTCAACAGTTTCCAAGCAGAAATACAGAAACTGATGCCACACTTTTGAGAATGAATTTTGGGGCAACCTATATGTAGCAGGAAATGGCACCACAGCCTAGGCTTCTCTTTCTTCAACACAACAGTTTCCAAACCACAGGTAGTCCAGGCATAGCACAGGCCCCGTGGAGCAGAGAAAAGCTGCCGCCAGAAGCCAGGGGCCTCCTGTGTGCTCTGGGACCACCTGCTATCTCAACCAGAAGCCAAGAGAAGGAGACAGCTTCAGTTCTCTCAGGGTTGGAAAAGTCAGTAGGTGCTACTGGCCAGAAGCCCAAATCCCTCAAAAGGGACAAACAGAGGCCCTTACCATCAGCACAAATCTGCATGGAGTCTCCTAAATAAAAGGCCTACAGAAAATATGCTCAGAAAACAAACAGCTTACTAAATAAAAACTCACCATCATCACTGCCTTGTGATACAAATTCTCCTTTGTTCAGTGTACAGGGAGAAGGCACAACTATCCTAATTACTTTAAATTGCAACTTCCAAGTATTTCTATTAAAGAGATATATAAATAGTTACTTTCACTGCAAGCAGTAGGCACGGTGAAAAAGAGAATGCAAGTTGGGATTAAAAACAATCTGGATTAAAATTATAGTTCTGCCAACTATCAAAACTTTGACAATTTTTAAATTTCCCAGACCCTCGATGTATTTATCTTTAAAATGGAGATATCTGCATTTATCTCACAGACTTGTTCTAAGGATTTAATTTGGTAAAACAGTGTAAGTAAAGCATGTTTCACAGAGAGCACTAACTAAATATTAATCAATAAATATGCATCAGTCACAACACCAGTAATATATTTGCTTACATTTTCCTAGAATATTGACACTAACAAAAAGAAAACTGCCTTAAGGTGTACTGAACTGATGAGAATAGATCTTCTAAGCAGTGAAAGTACATTAATAGTATAAAATTAATATTGGAAACTTACACTTGTTCATCACACAAAAGAAGCCAACAGTGATAATAGTAGTATATTTTTTCTGTAAGATGAGTCAAAAATACTACCAATACCATCAATAAATATTCATGTCAATAAATAGAGTTTTAAAACAAGGAACTGACATCAAAACAGTAGTTAGTTAAAAGTACCCTTCTGAGAATGGGAAAAATGTATGACTTATTAAAAATTTAATAAAGAGCTGAAAAATAGATAATTGTGGGCTCCAAATAGGTTTTTTAACTTCATATTTAGTTCTACAATATCAAAAACAACAGTGCTCCAAATCCAAATTAAGGAGGAAAAATTTAAGCATCTTAGTTCTTTATATTGAAGTAAATGGATGAGGAAAATGAAGGAGGCTGTAAAAAAGAAGAGAGGAATACTTTGTCTATCTGTCTATCTGTCTGCCTGTCCCCTCCCCACTCTCCCTTTCTCTCTCCGTCCCTCTACTTCCTTCACCTACATTCATTTTAAGGAGCAACCTCGCCATCTTGTGGCTTTTATGATCAATGACTGTACAGCAAAATTCTCATTTTAAGAATTGTAAGCAAAAACATGCAGGGAGGAAACTGAAGAGAAAATATTTTTATCCCTTAATATTTGTCCTGAACACCACATGCCCTGCTCTGTGAATTCCTGATATTGCTCATTTTTCTTTCTAATTCTTCTAACTTCATGTTTTCCTTCTCTCCTTATGAGCTCTTAAAAAATAAACACTACCATTGGTGCTCTTGCTTTACATATCCCACATATCCCACAGTACTCAGTAACCTGGCTAGTAATGGTTGCCCTTTTGGGGTCCTAAGACTCTCTGACAAACTGGCAAGAAAAGTAATTGAACAGGTGCTCCTACTCTTAAGGCCCATTCATGCACTCCTGAGCTAAGAATCAAAGTTTGGGTCTCTTAATAGGTAACCACTGCTTGTATCTATCTGCTCTGTGCCAGAGCACCAGAAAATCACCACAGCTCTCCTGACAGAGATCAGCTCAGGGATACCTCCGAGACTTCCAAGCAACCAAGGGTTTCAAGATCGAGCTTTTTTGCATGCTAATAACAAAAACAAGAGAACAAAATAAAGCATCTCACCTGGACACTTTCATTAGCCTCCTGTTTCTAGTCTCCCTATCTAAGTCTTCCCTTTTGTGAACACAATTATCCTTTAAAAAATGTAAATCAGGGTGCACTATTTTCCTTTCAAAGCTTTCTAGGGACTTTTTGAGTTATCTAGAGCAAATCCAGACTCCCTATCCAGGCTAAGAGAACCCTAGCTAAGTTGATCACTGCCAGATCTCTGGCCTCTGCCCTTCAATTTTCTCACTGCATATAGCCTTTTTTTTTTTTTTTCCAGACAGGGTCTTGCTAAATTACTAAATTTTACCCAAGGTGGGCTTGAACTTGCAATCTCCCTCCTGCCTCTGCCCCCCAGAATTCTGAGATTACAGGCATGTTACCACTACACTGGCTGATTTGGTGGCCTTCTTAAGGTTTTCTGAATACCTTCAGTTCATTCCCACCTTCCAGTCTTTGCACTACCTAGAGTGTTTCTCCCTCGAATATCTACATGGCTATCTGTTACTGATGATGTGATCTTAAGTATAACCTTCTAAGGGAGACTTTCCTCAACTACCCAATAAAAGCAGACTCTCCTAGAATAGAAGCATCATGAAGACTGCAATGCAGGTGTCTAATCTCTATGATATCTTCACCACCTAGAATAATGCCTGCCAGTGTCTTAACAAGTATGTTTTCAGTAAATGAATGGATGTAAATTAGTAACCTTCAGAAATAGGAATAACATATGACAACTAACTACAAGGAAAAGATAAATCTTTACTTCCTCCAGTAATACCTGATATAACCTGCTGGGGGCAGAGGGCAGAGTGGAAAGGTTGAAGCAACAAAATTTCTGAGGTTTAACTGCTGACATTACCTAATAGCGCACATTTGCCCCCTCTTCTCATTCTCAGTGTTCTCACTAAAAAAAGCAAATCCATCATGGCTCCAAACAAGATATTTGCAGCTTCTATTCTAGAATAATAATAACAATTATGAAGTTATTGCATATTAGGTACTGTCTTACTCATTTTCTCATTGCTGAGACAAAATACCCAACACCCAAAATTAAAAAAGGTTTATTCAACTCAGAGTGTGTAGAGATTTCAGTCTATAATATATCTGCTGGTTCCAAGGTGGGATGGCAC